CGTCTCCATATTTGTCTGCCCAATAAGTGATGCTAAAATGAAAATGAAGACAATCATGTTATTTGTTATTTACTATTTGACTCAGTTTTTTTTTCTAATTTTATGAAGAAATAATTTATTTTAATGCAAAAGCTGTCTTTCAAAGATTATAATTGCTTTTTTAACCCTTGGAAGTGCACATCTGCGACCTTTGCAGACTCTGATTTATACAAATATAATCAATTAAAAATATTCTTACTTGGATTATCAAATATTTTGGTATATAATTTCAGAAATTTTATGAATCGCAAACACAGTAAAATTTAAACCATCGCGATTATTTGTCAATCTACTGTCTCTCCTTAACGTACGTTTACAAGATAAATGTAATTACGTTTGTCAATTCATTTGTTTAAGATACCTCCCATCCACTTTTAAACTTGAAATGGAATACTATTTTTGTATTCATATGAAATAAAATTCAGCCAATAACTTATAAGTGAAAAGAAGAAGTCTCCTGTTACCTTAATTTCAATATTTAGATGTTGAAGCGACGCACATTTCTATAAACAATATTCATTTTAGCCTGCGTTGATTCGATATACTTGTACATATATCACAATGAACTCGAAATAAAAGATACCACTGAGTCTGTCACATCTATTTTGTCTTATTAATGTTTTGCTTGGAAAAGGTGTCAATGGTAACCTTACGACAAAACAAAATGATAAACATGATGACATAAACTTCTCAAAGGGCAACTTTCCTTATTCATGTATCAATATGGGATTGTCACCAGCATATGGAGTTTGTCTTTCCAGTTGATTTGAATGATAAGAGCACGTTTTTCGTACAAACATTTTTGAAACCGGGCAAACTTCTGACAAATAAGTTGATGGAACAAGGATATCAACAATCTCGTTAAAATTCAGTCGGAAATTCAATGTTTGATATAATGACAATGTCAGCAATAACAATCATAAAGTTCAATGCCGACTATTGTTTTTTAAATGAATTGTTGGGTCATTATTTTCATACTGAATTACCTACAATTTTTTTTGTTTACTTGATCACGAGAAGAGCACACGACGGATGTGACCCGTCTACAAGGGGTGCTTACTCACTTAGTACGCCTGATCCCACATCTGATGTTTGAGAGGTTCGTGTTTGAGCTCATCCTGATTGGTATTGTTTAAGTGAACTCTGGAGCTTGAAAACATTTTGCTACTTTATTAATAAAATCCATCTGATTAATATAAGTCGGCTAATTTCACCAACACGGGCTGTTTGTCTTATAATTGAGAAAAACGGTAGAAATATCTCCTGTGAATTGTTTTTATCTAACCCATAAATTTCCCATTCAATTTGATGCGACTGCACTCTGTAGAGTTTATAGAAGCCTTTTATATAAATACCAAACCTTACTGGGCTTAATTTTTTTTATCATAAATTAAAAAAAATCATGAACCAAATTTTAAAAAATGCAAACCTGTGACCCTTTGAAAAATTAAAATTATATAAAGTTATCTTTAATATTTCTTCAAAGTTCAATACAGTTAACTTTAATTAGTAATAAAAAAATAATAATGATATATAAGAAAACAAATAGATCTCCGATATAATTTTGAAATAAAAGCACAAGATATGCATTTTCTGATTGAAATTCATCAATAAAATATATTTAAAGATAAACTACAAGTATCCAAACATTTGGATAAAATTGCTTGTTTCTTTTATTGATTTTTTTTTTAGCTAAAAGATTTCCTTATCCAGTATATTCAATTAAGAGTTTTAAGTTCAATAATAAATTGAGAGTTATCATTCGTGGCTAAGGGCCGGATATAGTTTTGATTTAGCCTGACTTTTGTTTGGTGATCAAAAAGAGTTGCCTATAAAAATTATATTATTATTAATTAAGATTGTAGCAAATGGTTTCTTCTTGGTAAATACCAAACAAATTGGTATCGAAAGTATACATTACACGAGCTGTGAATCATATACATTTTATAGTTCATGTATTTGGAGTTGTCTTTCGTATAAAGAAAAAATACATGCATAGCAAAATAAATTCCTGCTGCACGTTTTGCAAAACTACGGAAGCCCATTTAGGACCTATCAAAAATATTTTTGAATTCGTTATAACGATTTTTAGAATTCGTTATAACGAATTTTTAGAATTCGTTATAACGAATTTAATTTGTTTTAACAGCCTTTTAGAATTCGTTATAACGAATTTAATTTGTTATTACAGATTCATTGAATTCGTTATAACGAATTTAATTTGTTATTACAGATTTATTGAATTCGTTATAACGAATTTAATCTGTTATTACAGATTTGTTGAATTCGTTATAACTAATTCAACGAATTTGGTTATAACGAATTCAACAAATCTGTAATAACAGATTAAATTCGTTATAACGAATTCAACAAATCTGTAATAACAGATTAAATTCGTTATAACGAATTCAACAAATCTGTAATAACAGATTAAATTCGTAATAACGAATTCAATGAATCTGTTATAACAAATTAAATTCGTTATTACGAATTTAATTAATCTGTTAAAATAAATTAAATTCGTTATAACGAATTCAATAAATCTGTTATAACAAATTTAATTCGTTATAACGAATTCTAAAAAATCGTTATAACGAATTCAAAAATATTTTTTGATAGGCCCTAAATGGGCTTCCGTACAAAACTGTGTATCTATATGAAAAAAATCTTTAAAAAACATCTGAGATCTAGAAGTAGTCAAATAGAAGAAAGGTCTGGTATAAAGGCAGTACAAAAAAAAAATAAGATAAACATTCTAAAAAGTATATAATTATATGTGGTACAATTGTAAAACGTCCTTAAGAGCGGCAGATTGAATATCTTCAACACTTATATTGTACGATAGTTCAATCTCTGATAGAAAATGTATCTTCAACAATCACACAACACACTCAAGACTACCCTTTTAAAAAGAGGTATAACCATCATCAACGTATCCAGACATACATATGTAATCGTACCATTATAAAAAAAAATAATAAAAAAGGCATATAATTCTGCTGAATATCTGTTATAGGAAATAATGAAAATATATGTTAAAATTTTTTAAAAATATGGTTTATTTTGTTTAGGTGAAGCACCTGAAACAACCACTATTTTTCCTGGGAGGGGGGTCCTTATTTTATATCCTGGTTGAGATTTGTATTGATTGCGGATTTCTCAATAGATCGATTGATGTTCATTATCTTCACCTTCTACATTAAGTAATGATTTATTTACGATAATTGTATGTGAACATGTTAATGTTGTTCACATTCGATAGAAAACGTAGAAGGACTATCGACCCGAAAATAAAGTATACATGTTTATTTATAATGAGATACCATACACTGTCATCACCTGTTGAAATTCATTTGTAATGCCATCCCACAACTCTCACAATACAACAGCAATGTTTCATATAAATACCGGTATTAAACTACCGAGTTCAAAATTCCAAATCAATTTCCTCTAAAGCACTATAATATTAAGCAAAGTGTATTTTATTCCCTATGACTGAAAGAACATATACACTTTAACCAAAACCGCAAATAACACTTTAATCCCTGGGAAAGCCCACCAGATGTCTGCATCAGTGAACATATGGATTGGTATAGTTCATATGGATCTTGCTTAATCCACTTGAAGCGGGTATTGTCAAAACTGGTTAAAGTTGATTCAAAACTGATCTGGTTTGATCTCATTATCCGTAGTTCTAGAACTCACTGATGAGTTAGGACAAAATGATAACCATTATAGTCATCAATGATTTGACAGTGCTCAGATAAATTGCTGGTTCTGAACACTTCCGTTTTTGATGCAATGGACGGCCATTTTATTTTGAGGTGGAAGCCTGGTTATTATTCAAGTTTGATTGTTTATCTTCATGCTAGTCAAGGACAGATTTTTTATTCCCTTGGAACAGATTATTTATTTTCAACTTTTTCAAGAACCGATATTTTTTCAAAAGTTCTACCACGCCCCCACCTCAGAATCTATTTGTCGTCCTTTACTTTTATCAAGCAATAGGATATCAAATCTGCCTTAAAAAAATCAACATAGTCAAAACAAAGAAACACGATTTGACCAAAAAGTGTACTTTACAAATTGATGTTATAAACATTGTGACGCCACAAACATAGAGCAAAATATTATATTATACTTTCATGTAAATTACTTGAATCTGATTCGTCGAGAAACATTTGATAAAAAACACTACTACCCGCTGAATAATGAAGCCAAGCCCTCCTGCGTAGCAACAGTCAACATTGCTTGAACATAGAAAAATAGCACTGCGCGGAAATACGGTTATATATGTATTTGTTTAAAACATTCAGTATAATATAATAAATATTGCTATTCACATTGAAAAACATGTGTACCTCGGCTGCGCCTCGGTTTTTTGAAAATTTTCAATGTTACACTCAACTACATGCAATATTTATATAATATAACATCTGCTATTCACAAAACATGTGTATTTTTGACTATTTGTCAAACTTTGTTATTATAACCCCGTAGGAGGGCGATAAAGGTGTATTGCTGCATAAGTAAGGGAAGTTGAAAAGTTCAAGTTATCGAAAAGTTAAAGTCATCACACAATCAAAGCTGGGTTGTTAGATTACTGTACCATAATAAGGTCTTAATGGTAAAATATCCACGTATTAAACAGATGTGTTAAATTCTGTGGTATCTTTTATTTCAAGCTCACAGGGATGTATACTATCGACATATGAATGGAAATAATCATTGTTAATTGACAATAAGTCATCACACAATCAAAGCTGGGTTGTTAGATTACTGTACCATTAAGGTCTTTATGGTAAAATATCCACGTATTAAACAGATGTGTTAAATTCTGTGGTATCTATTATTTCAAGCTCACAGGGATGTATACTATCGACATAGGAATGGAAATAATCATTGTTAATTGACAATAAGTCGTCGATATATCTAGATAATATTCGTGCATTTTTTTTCAGTTTATTTCAAACTCACCCAGAGGTACAAGATGCTTTTCTGCCATTTCAACAATTGGCGATGGAAGATATGGAACACAGTGCTGTATTACGGTCACACGCCTTACGTGTGATGGGTACAGTTGATAAATGTCTAACTCGGATACGTACGCCGGAAAAACTTAGGAAACTAATGCACGAATTGGGAGAAAGACATGTCAATTATAACGCCAAATATGATTTCATAGATGTAAGATATCCTGGTTTTTTAAACATAAACAATTACAAAGCTTAGCAATGTCATGCTCGTTAACATTGATTTAATGATGTGTCTTTAATATTGAGACAGTATATTTTTGAGTCACAATTCCTGGGGCCAATGTTGATAAGTAGCCAAAATAAACTTTCTGCGGTAACTCATTTATTTAAAAATATTCAGTGAATAGATACTCGGACAAAGTTTGTGGCTGCTGTAAATTTTAGAGTACGGATGACCTACGAAGTCCACAAACATGGCTCTCTATGAATAAAAATGATTACTCTATAAACCTATATTTATAGATGGTGGGAAGACAGTTTGTACACGCCATACAGCCTCATCTTCAGGACACCTGGAATAAAGATCTAGAAGAGGCCTGGTCTCAGCTCTTTAGGGTCCTGTGTTATCATATGAAGAGAGGAATGGTAGACTCAAATGCCAATGCAGATTGAAACAAAACAATAGTATGTGTACATCGAATGCACAGAAAACGAATGAAATATTTGAACATGAAGTAATTAAAATAAGAGTACTTATTGATTGAATATATCCATTGATTTTACATGCTTGTTAACTTGCATTAATCGGATGACAATATGTGGTACTGAAAAAACTTTTCAAGGGAATGAAATTCCAGGAACACACATATTGAATAATATTTCTCTGATTACTGAATGGAATTTGTATATGCGCATATATCCCAAGAGAGGCAAAAGATGCAAGGAAAAACTATGAATGTGAACAATGAACGATCTCTGAAATTTTGTTTTGTCATTACATTATGTAATATATGTTAGTTAGTATATTTTAGGAAGAATTAATGCATTATTAATCAGTATTATCCTCTAAAAGTCAGATTTTAGTACAAAATCTTTTTTTTCAACAAATTATGTAGCCCTTTGTTGACTTTACTACCCTTGGTACTCCTAAAGTGTGTTTTCCTTGTCGGACTATTCCTCAATAGTTTATAGTTTTCCTTTGTTTAAACCTGGTAAGTATCAAATAAAAAAATTAAAGATTAATGCTCATCTTATTTTCGGTTGACTTTTCAAACGGCAATTTTAATGCTGGCTGTAGACGAAGGTTTTGTAATAAATCAATATTTTATCATTTTTTCAAGAAAGTCACATGAAAAATGAATAGCACTCGCATAAAAAATGTAAACTAATTAACATACAGTGAAAAATGTATATAAAGTAATAATATGGTTTGTTTTTGTGATACAAAAAACAATGGCAAGGACAGTTATGTCATTAGATATTGCTATATTTTTGACAAATAACTGAACTTGTTCAAAACAGTAATGAGAAATGATCTATATTCCAAGAAAAAAATATTTTAAAAATAATTATCTCTTCATGATATCAATATTAAGACATTTATCTGTACATTTTACTTCTACTGCTACTGCTTACTCCTCCATGGCATCAAATCCCACCTCTGATGTTTTGGAGGGCCGTGTTTGCTCTGCTCCTATTATGTATTGTTTAATGGACATTTGAGCTTGAATACAGTTAGTTATCTCCATATGTTATATTTTAATTATTTCAAAATAATTTAATTTTGCTTGTATTCTCGCCATTCATTGGTTGATTTCCAAAAAGGAACGCATAAATGGGGACACACCCCCTTGACAACCAGCTTAATCATCATATCCATGCAATCCCCTCATTTCCAGTCCTCGGAATCCATGGAAAATTCCAGATTTAATAAATGTACCTTCAACTATAAACAATTACTCGATCTTACCTCATGTAAACAAGCATCATGGCTACTAGATCTATGTATCAGTTATTACCTCCCCTCGCTTCAAATCATTTCCGTTACTACGGTTGTATTATTGCGCGGTAAATTTGAACTTATAAAAAGCAACACAATTTTACATCAAAAGTTGTTTAATTATTTTAAAATTAAATTATAAGGAATGACTTTAATTCTTGGCCATATTATCGAGTATAATCTGGTTTGGGTCAGTTTACGCTTTTTTATAATCCGCTTCGCGGATTATAAAGCGTAAACTGACCCAAACCAGATTATACTCGATAATATGGCCAAGAATTAGAGTCATTCCTTAAATAAACAACGTTATTCAGTGAACATTGTTTTATGAATAGCAAATGCTCTGCTGGCATATTCCATTTTTGTGATGTCAGGAGGAAATCCTAGCTTACATAACGACACGACTACATGTGAAGAAAAATCACAATAAATCACAATACTTATCATATATATAATATATAAATGGAATTTGCATCTCAACCAACGTTATACAGCTAATTGTGCCACGTACGTTTCACGTATGTTATGTGAAGCGTATGTAGTCACACACATGTTATACGTACGTTGTATCACATACGTGAAACATACGTTTGTAATACACGTATGTGATACGTACATTTCACATACGTGTAACATGTGTTATGTGCAACCATACGTTACACGTACATGGCACAATTAGCTGTGTATCTGGATATAAAGTGTGGCATCTTCAAATGTTCCTAATGTTTTATTTTAATACAGTTTTGACGTCATTGTCCAAATTATTGAAAACCTCTGATAATTTTTTCAAGTATGATGAAAAGAAAATGCTTTTTATTTAGATTTTTAACTAAACATTTTTTAACTATGTTTTTAAGCTCTGAAAAAACATTTTTTTAACTATGTTTTTAAGCTCTGAAAATTCATTATAGGAGCTGAAATCGTTCTTAAAAGAGATATACTAATTACAGATATTTCTTTTCGAATACACTTACATACATATAATTGTTAAGAAGAAAGCAAAATTAAGTGCATCCAATCAACATACAAATGTATATGTATTAGAAAAGATGTTGTAGATGGTATATATGCAGAGATGAAGAAAATTTTGATAATAAGCTTCTCAGGTTTTTCTTCTGTTTTTGATATCAGATATCTTTATACTGTATTCCTTTAAAAAAGACCCGATCTTTAAAAAATATGCTAAATGTAAAATTCGTTTATAGATAAATGATTAAATCATAATGGCTTCAGACAAAAGAAAATCAATAATTATATGTTATCCCGTGTCTACTCACTATAGCTTGCATTGAAAAATAAATTATTCGGGTTAGAATTAAAACTCAGTGGAAATTTTATGAAGATCATTCAAAGTACACTTCAGGACTTGGATGGCTCTTGCAAAGGTATCTGTACTTTAAAGGATATAATAGTGCTATCAAATTCGAATTTTATTTCAGGGGAAATCCATCGTCAGGAAATCCTTACGGACGTCGGCTTCAATTCGTAAACAGATTGACATGGGTCTCATGGACAAATCAACTCTGCTGATCCACTTAAACCAGATATCGTCAGAAAAGGTTAAATTGGACTCAGCAGTAATTTGTTTTGATCGCAGCATTATCAAGCTAACCGATATGTATAGAAACATAAACTGCTTCTAGAAATGGTCACCAATAAATCAATTTTTACCACATTCAAGGGTCCATCATAATCTACAATTAAGATGTAATTCGTTTTGACATGATGTAAAATTAATTGAACATAACGTATTTTTAAATTTTTCATTTATAAAACTTTTCTTATTCGTATAGCATGGTTACTTGTATAAACCAAAAATTTGATTTAATGAAAGATTGACGGTTTTCGAGCAAATATGTTTTTTTAAATAAAGTATATATGTTCTTAAACTTAGCATTAAACAAAATAATCATAATGGGAAACCGGTTTCTTAAAAATGTCTTTATTTTTTAAACTTTAGATAAATTAGACTTGCTGTAATTGGAAAATGGAAAGAAATTTTTAAATTACACAAGACAAAGAGTACTTTACACATCCTTCATGTGTTATCTAGTAAGAAATTAATACAAAGAATTGTCCTTTAATTTTCTCTTTTTCAAGAACTTCTTTTGACTTTGAATTATTATCAGAAGGAACAGGAACATGCAAAAGACCACTTAAAACCAACCGAGATAATGTTAAAATTAAGTGCACTTAAACCACTTAATTGTTGGCATGCTACTTGATTAAAACTCATTAAATGCCAGGAAAACTCGTCATGCAATAAAAAACAGTTTGTTATGTGAACAAACTAATCAGTGTCGACGATCAAATCTTAGAAAATCCGCTCGAAAGAGGATAAATCATTGTCATTATTGATGGATACAAATGCAGGTTAAAGCCAAGAAGAAAAATCAAAGATAAGTGTTTGCTTGATGAGAAACAAATTGATGAAACTCTGACATTGTATCTTTCAGTCATGATCTTGGGATCTCAAAATCCCGCGCCGGGAATCCTTAACGAGAAGGGAAGACAACTTCTCTGGATGAAACCATATAAACCGAAGTCCTTTTTTCGAGGTAGATGTTTGAATCCCTCATTCCTTAAAAAGCATTTTGATGTGTACACAAAAATAGTGTAGCCAAAATTTAAAAAATAATGCTGCAGCTCCTCAAAAACATGCATTGACAACATCTTCAGAGACAACGTTTTCAAAGAACTGTTAGAAATCCGATGGGTTTTTGTGCTCCTTTAATACCTGACCTTTTTATATTCCTATGAAGCAGATTTTTTAGGTTCACTGACTATAGGCAATAAAGGCCGATTAACAACTAAATTGTATGACAAACGATATGACTTATTAAGCTTTTCCATCTTCAACTCATGTCATAAGCAATTTTCTGCTATCACCTGCTATGTTGTTTATATCTTCCACCTAATTCACTACTCAAGATCTTGCACTGAGAACGATCAAGTTTTAAAGCAAGGCATGCTACTCACTCATAGGTTAATTGTTCAGGGATTTCATCAACCTCACTAGATGTCGGCATTTTTTATTTCTATAGACTTGTTAATAAGTATAACGTAACATTTGGGTCGGTTTTCCTGATTGCTTGATTTATACCAATAGTTAAGCCTTTTTTGTACTGAATTTGACTTTGGAAAGTTTACCCGATAAATACAAAGGACTTACGCCAGGTATGATTGGTCAACAAGGGATGCCTACTCCTTCCCTTCTAGGCCACTGATCCTAACTCTAGATTTTCAAAGGGTCCGTGTTTTATGTTATCTTCACATAATTTTTCTGTATATAGAGTTTTTGAGATGTCACTGTTCGCTTACTTCATCTTTTACATCGTGCATCATTGTATTGCTAGCTTTTATTTTTTATTTGAAGAATTTATATTTCAGAGAAAAGATATTCATTTTTTGATATCTACATATCTAAATCCTTTCTTATATTAGTTTAAAAGAAATATCAAAGATTTTTACTCTTTTCCGTGACTAAAGAAGTTGCTCCTATGTACAATCTGTTTTAAAGAACATTTCATAATTGATTGTAATCATCAAATGATTAAATGCAATCAAGAAAACAAATTTTATGAAACAGTGCGTTTCCTATCAAATGTCTCTAGAAATTATACCAAAAGAAAAGACGTGATCAGAATAGTTATACTTCTTAGAAGTCCAATTAAACATTACAAAATAAGAGCAGAGCAAACTTGAGTTTTGAAAATTTCAAAGGCCAT